AGCAGGAAAGCATGTAGGAATGCAATGTGAAATGAAGTTTTACCTCCTACCACAGCATGGAGGGAACATCTACGCCTGTGCTGAATTGGGAGTAGGGATTCACGCTAACTGTGAGCAGGTATGCCTGGGACCTTTCCTAAAGGCTGCAGTGAGGAAGGAATGAGTAGGAAACACCAACCTGGCCCAGTGCCAAAGCTCATGATGAAAATAAAGATGAGTGCCACAGAGCAGTATGGTACCCAGGAAAAGGAGTCCTATGGGAGAAAGCAAATAAAATCAACAATTAACATTTTATTTATCCAGCTCCATTGGAAACATTCATCACTGCTAAGTATGTCAATTTTAAACATCCATCTGTTTCCTCCGCTTCCTGTAACTTCACAAGTAGATAGCCTTGGCAGTGATCATGGTCGTATAAAGCTATGGGCTTTAATTTGCATGTACATGGCTGGGAGCAGACCTCTGTTAGTATGATGGTTAGCCCCAAAAATACTTCTAATCCCACTAAAAAGAGATTTGAAGGGAGGAAAATAGTAATGATATCTGCCATACAATAAAGCACGAAGATGGGACACAGCTCTAATGTATAAGTGGGGTCTTACCTGTAGTGAAAGTGTGACTGTGAGGAGCCCTAAAGTCAAGGCCATTACAGTGTAACTTTTCCACAGCAGTGTCTTCCTCCCTGCACGCTCAATCAGGAAACCCTGCAACCAGGAGGACATGGTGTCAGCTCCAAAGGACAGACCTTAAAGGCAGGCACTGGTGAGCTGCTCCAGTAGCTGCCTCCATCAGCCAGGCGGGGGGGGGACCTCTGAAGACTTGGGGGCTGGGATGTGGTACCTCCTCTGGGAGGGTGAGTAAAGGTACCTGGGGGGACTGAGCAGGACCAGGAGCTGCAAGGAGAGTGAGGAAGGTGGGGAGGTATAATGTTGCAGGGAGCAATGTGGACGAAGGAGGCCTGAGGTGGCACTCTGCAGGCAAAGGATAGCCAGAAAGGACAGCAAAGTGGAAATGCTTGCGCTGTTAATTGCCATGAAGCCTACAGCCATGAGACCTACTGACAAGCAGACACAGGGACTGTCATCCTACAGAGGGGAACTGGGACTGCCAAGCCTGGCTCAGGCTGGGTTGTGGATTTGAGGGAAAGTCTCTCCTGCCCTCCCATAAATTGAATACAAGTGCCAGTGTTTACAGGGTGTGTGGTTATGATTTTGTATGACCAGTGAAAAGTATTACAGCTGATTTGTTGCAGAAGCTTGATTCCTGAAGCTCCATTTACAGTAGTTCTAAAGACTGAAATGAACCATGCATTATAGCAGAACGAAATTCAGCTGAAGAGCCACTTACACAGAGAACTGTGGAAAGGATCTCGGTAACCCCAACTCCCAGGGAGACATAGTGGGTTTGATCAGGGGCAATTCCAGCTTTTATAAAGACATTGTATGCATAAAAGTAAACCTGAAAAGAATAGAAATGTGTGAAGGCTGTACCCATGTGGTCATGCTTCCGTCTTTTTTGACAGAAAATAGCTCATCAGGCCTTAACAATAGATAAAACCTTCTTGATTTCAGTAACTAATCCCCAGTGTTTTCACAAGGCTTATTAGTGCTGCACAGCTTTAACGAGCAGCTCTACCTTGAACTCAGTAAAAAACACAGTCTTTTTCTTCTTTTTTTTTTTTGCTTGCTTTTCGCACTGCCTTTGTCTTATGTTACAGATTATAATTCTACCTGGCATCTTTCATATGTTTTAGTTCTCATGTACTTTGGATGAGTAGCATACAGAAATGTGGACAGTATATACTAAGCAAATGGTTTAAATTTATCTTTCTACATAACCTTTAAATCTTTGCAGTGATTTTAACAGTCACTATTTTCCTGGTTTTAAGCACTCCTAAAGCATAAGAAATTCCACTGTTAATATGCTCAATTTCTACTGGTCCTTCCTGGTATAATTATGGCTGTACCAGTGGGGGTAGCAAGCAGCTTTATGACTCTTGAAGCCTTTCTGAATTTACAAAATTAATCTGAATTTTGGAACTTTAATGCTTTTACTCTAAGCTAATTTTCATAGAATCACAGAATGCATTGGGTTGGAAGGGACCTCTAAAGCTCATCCAGTCCATCCCCGGCAGTGAGCAGGGACAATGTTACCAGATCAGGTTGCTCACAGCCCCATCAAGCCTGACCTTGAATATCTCCAGGGATGGGGCCTGCACCACCTCTCTGGACAACCTGTGCCACTGATCTACCACCCTCATATTGAAGAACTTTTTCCTAATATCCAACCTAAATCTACCCTTTTCTGGTTTAAAACCATTACCCCTCGTCCTAGCGCTACATGCCCTATGAACAGCATTTTATACTATAACTGTTCCAATACTCAATACTATCTATCTACTGAAACATAGATAGAGATATATCCAGAGAAAAGGTATATTAGACTATGTATCAGTAAATGTCACATATATTAATGGGACATTGTAATTTTCTATAATCTGAGAATGTGAAAAGTTAAAGGATTTAGAGAGAAACCCGAAGAGGTCAGAGTATGGAAATGCACTGTCAGTGTGCATTACAAACCTGAATCGGTTTGTACTGAAATGGCTGAACAGTTTTGGGCAATGCATTCTGGAGTTCAGAGACACAGAGGAAGTTATGTTATTCCCTACTTGTTCTATATTTGAGATTTTATGTTATCTCCTTCCATTCGCTTATCGTAACAGGGTAATCCATAGAGATGCCTTCAGATGACACTTACTAAAACACAGTTCTTGACTAGCCCAGGTCCCAGACTTCCATGGGAAAAGATTAAAACAAACAGGAACAACTGATTCCCTCCTTATAGCCAATATTGCAGTCAGCCTTTTACTACTTGTTGCAGAGCTTACTTTTTGGCAATAAACTGCAAGCAATCTAGAAAGCAGAGAAAAGCAGCACATACCACGTTGACTCCAATTAACTGCATGCATGAGGAGACCAAGAAGAGAGTGATGAACTGCCATCGGACACCTTTGTCACGAAAAAGATCACAAACACTCTTAGCCTTCTCCCCATGGATGGCTTCTTGCTCGGCCATCATGTCATCTATTTCGGCCATATGGTCACCATCTCCCCAGAGCTGCTTCACAGCTGGAAGGAGAGGAAGAGAGAGGATGACTCCTGAGCCAAGTTCACCACCGCAGACGTGAATTCAGAGAGTTACTTCTTGCCATGCAGAGTGTCTTATCTGAGCTTCAGGCTCTTTGCTTGTGTTAACTTCCTAGAGATCTGGGTTCAGATTAGACACAGATCCAGTTCATTGCTATTAATTTTTACCCATAAATTTTAATCATGACCTCACCCTTGGCCAGTAGCTGCTTACAGTGTTTCTATGTAAATCATGCCTAATTTCTTACCAATCCTTCCCCAAATCTCCTCCTGCTAAAGATACAGTTCTAGTGCACACACCAAAACACAGACAAGGAAAAATTACTCCTACATTAAAAAATAAGTCTACATCCAAAGAGTTCTCTCTTTTGATAGTTAAGAACCCGCAATGGCTGTTTCTCTGTGTCAGTAGTTGCTGTTAGGGTCGCTGAAGAACTGGAATGCTTACGGATATGACATGGCAGTAAAGACCATCCCTTTAAGAAAGGGATTTAACACAGGGATTTAACTGTGCTTTAACACAGGGCCAGAAGGTCTACACTCCCACTGTTTAGGGCAGAATCTGTACTGAGGGAAATACAAACTCTGTGTGATCACGTCCCTTGAAGGATCCTGGCAGAGGATAAGGAAAACACTAGTGTGAAGAGAGCACTAATGTCAAAACAGAAAAGGCTGACTCTCATTAAAGCTGAAGGCAGTTTCAGAGCCAAAAGACCAAAAGTCTGTTTCCCAACTGTACCCCTCTTCCAGGCTTATGTGGGGCTTTACTGTATTTTCCACCTTTTACTAAAATGAGTGCTTTGTAGCTCATTTCCTTACCTCTGATGCATCCCTCTTTGTCCTTTTTGTCAATGAGCAGGTAGCGGGGAGAGTCTGGGAAGAAGGGGAGGGTGAGAAGCTGAACGAGGGCAGGAAGTGCGTGTACTGCCATGAGAACAGGCCAGAGAGCATCTACCCCGAGAAGTTCTCTGAAACAAAACCCGCAGAGCAAGAGGAGCTGAGCAACCACGTGTGCTGGCCCTGTGAGCACACACAGACCACACAGGGTGGTCCCTTGGTCCTGCTGCATATGTCCTGACAGCTGTAATGAGGATTTCTCAGCCCAGAAAACATGAAAATTTCAATGGGAGGTGGAAGAGGAGAGCAGACGCTGTTGCCCGCAGCACACGAATTACACAGTGTTGCCACCTGTTGCTCAGTGGTGAGTGCAGCAAAGCTGCCTGCATCCTGCAGCAGCTGAGGCCCACAGAGATGAAGTGTCCCAGCGCAAGCAGTGCAAAATGGACCTGCTGCAGCTATCCCTCTGCTTCTGATCCAAAGAGTCTCAAGTTACAATTAAAAAAGAATTTATGAGTTATCAGTCTGGTACAGACTGCACCAAAGAGCAGCCTCTGCGTTTCCTGCAGCTTTGAGATCAGTGTGGTCAGAATGGTGTGTGCCCTGGAAGCAGGATGGACCATCTTTGGCACAGGACAGGCAGAAGGAGCATGTGCTGGAGTGAATGAACCCACCATAGGTTTCTGGTTTTGCATGTGTGTTTGATGAGTGGGTGTGCCACTTTGTGTGTATTTTCAAGAGAGTTTGGATGGATCTGATAATTCCTGCTCCTTCCAATCAGTGTGGTCAGAATGGTGTGTGCCCTGGAAGCAGGATGGACCATCTTTGGCACAGGACAGGCAGAAGGAGCATGTGCTGGAGTGAATGAACCCACCATAGGTTTCTGGTTTTGCATGTGTGTTTGATGAGTGGGTGTGCCACTTTGTGTGTATTTTCAAGAGAGTTTGGATGGATCTGATAATTCCTGCTCCTTCCAAAAAAAAAAAAAAAAAAGGTAAAGGTCAGTTCTTACAAAAAATGAATTTCTTTCAAACCCATTGAAATCTATTACAGGTTTTTATTATCTGTATTTTGATCTGTCATTGCTAGGAAGCAACATCGTTCTTCAGGAGTAAATATTCTGTATGTTTTCTGTTTCCCATTCTCTTAAGTCAGGAGTTTGGGCTGAGCTAATTCAGTCTGGCTGCCTAGGGTACCCTGAAAACATGTCTAAGAATATTTGCTGATTTGCCTATCCAAGGCTTGCACTGACGTATTCATATATTTTAATAACAGAATAAATTAAATAAGTCTCAGACCCCCTTACCTGAGACCCAGAGCAAATCCTACAAACTTTCCGATGGCAATGGCAGTAGAAGCTGTTATGGCAATCAGCCCGCGGAGCTTTCGTGGAGCACATTCCCCGGCATACATGAGGTGGATATTCTGACCTAATCCTGCAGAGACAAATGACTGTCAGGGAAATCCAAACTCCCATAGATAGTTAGGAGAGGACCATTATAGGCAAAGCATATGGAGGTAGGCTCTGAGATACTCGTATAACTGTGTTGAGTGTCTGCCTGACATGAAGCATGTTCCCAGTACTGTGGCCCTGCATCTTTGCTAAGTATTTCATTAAGCAAGTATGTTCCCCTGGGAAATCGGTTCTTCAGCAAGCTGGCCTTCTCTTACAATGTTTCCTACAGCCACATACTCAACATTGCTGTTGCTCCCTTAAATCTCCGATTATATATCTCAGTGTCTACTCAGGATGCTCTATGTGCCTTACTTTGTGCTTGAAAACAGTAAGTTAACAAATGCTATATATTCCATTTGCTCAGTGAATTAATATTTATCCTTTCTTAATTTTTTTTACTGGTTAGTATTATCTTTATCCAACTGCTCAGGGATCGAAAACACTGACAGAAAGTAAATTTCTGAGCATTTGGAAATTAGACTTGTCCAGTTTGAAAACCATTCCCTTGTCTGTAATATAGAAGGCAGTATCAGCCACAACGATCAGCAAGAGAAACAACGGACATCAGCTTTCTATGGAGTGAGCATGCTTCCCTGAAATATCACATTTTTTTTGCTTTTTCACAAGTGGGCAGTACTTCTTATATGGCTTGAATGTAAAGACAATAGAATGAGAAGTGAAGATGTCTCAGATGATTAATTTAATTATGTTTATGTTTTCTTATTTAGTTAAAAATACATTCAGGAATCAGTCGCTCTGCAGAGTTTAATAAAAATCTGTGATCCACATACTCAGTCTGGTAAATCCTTGTGTCTGTCAGTTACTGCTCTCCAAATTATTTAATACCATAGGTAGGAATGCTCATTTACCTCCACATACTCCAGCAAATAACCTTCCAGCAATGATCATCTCAAAGGATCCACACAGCCGGCTGAACCCCATCAGAGCTGCGCTCAGCAGAGAAGGGATATTGACAAACAGCATGGCCTTCTTCCTGGAATTAATTTAAATTAATGTCAGCATAAATATTGTCCATGTGTCATTTACAGCCTGAGAGAAGTGGCATTAATTGTACCATGGCTAAAGAGTCTGTGCCAGCTTCTGAGATCAGCTGCAGTGAAGTGAACGAGAAATGGGAATGGGAATGGGAAAACTTTGTCATGGGCTGATAAGCTAGTTGAAGCTTCTGATGCCTCTAGTGGAGCCAGTATCCACACTGAAGAACAAGCTTTGTGTAAAATTCACTTTAAAATGCATGCATTCCTCACGTGATTTCTCTGGACTGGATTTGCTTTGGAATTTGTAAGGGGAGGGTATGATTTTCTTTGTGATTGTTGGCAGATTTTGCCATTCTGTTTCTTCACTGAACTGATCATCTGAAGCAGCTCTGGGCTGCTCACAGTGCCACTTTACAAGCAGTGTTTCTCCCAAGACACAGTCACTGTGGCTTTAAGCAGAGAGACTATTGTAATCATTATTCCTACCTTCCGAATCTAACAGACAAATATCCTGCAGACAAGGACCCCAGAAGCCCGCCGATGCTGTAAATGGACACAACAAAGGACCACATCAAAGTAATCATCTCTTCACTGGGAGAAGAGCCGTATCTCTTCAGCCAGGTCTCACGGATGAAACTTTTGATATACTTTAAAAAAAAAACAAAAACCAAAAAACAAATGGACTCAGTCAACATGTTTTACCATAATTGCACCTCTTTTTTACTTCTCTTACCTACTTACTGGTCTTTTTGATACATTTCTGCTGGCACCTTGGTTGAAATCTTAGCCCCAGTGAAATAAAAGTGAATTTTGCCACTAACATCCCTGGAGGTAATGTTTTAGCAACAAGGTGCAATGAATAAATAGATTAATAAATATATCAATGTTAAATATCAGCTGTGAGTACCACTAAAAGAGTGGAAGGTTGGTCTTCTGTTTATGTGCTAAACTGATTGTTTTGCCTCCCCACCATTCCCACTTGTCTGTCTGTCTCTCTTGTCCACCTGCTGCATCCTGTCTGATGCCTTGTGTGAAATCCAGGTGTGACTTCAACTGACTTCAGTGAGATCAGGGTTTGTCCCTCGATGTGGTCCATTGTGGGGTCTCTCTGACTTTCATGGCACCCTTATTCTTGATGAGGGTTCCCAATGTAATAGTATGAGCTCAATACCCTTTGCACCGTTCAGGATGACAAACACTTTCCCTAATTTTCCTTTTCCAGCTGCAGGTATCAGTGCTGACCTCAGCTCCAGAGCTACAGTCTCTCCCTGTACTATTTCACCTTACACACAGTCACTTAGACCTAGAGTGTGTGGCCAAGTACATGGTAAAAAGGTCTCCCAGAGCACTGGAAAAAGGAGAATGTCCCGTGAGCAATCCAGCTCAGTAAGGGGAAAATGGCTGAGTTTATAGATATCACTTGTCCTCCCCTTTCCCAGTTCTGTCACACAAGACAGAAGTTAAAACCCCATGAAACCAGATGAGCGCTTGCAACTACTCTTAGAATCAAGAGACCAAAATAAGTCTAGTTTTGAGAGCAGAAGTGAAAAAGTTAATGATTCTGTATGCAGGCAGAAATGCACAACAACATTGAAATCCATGCTGGTAGCTCGATTTTTTTGAGCTGTCCATGCTTACCTCAGCAGGAGAATTGATAATGGATATCTGCAGCCCATACTGGAAGGCTCCACCAATCCCCAGGACGAAAGCCAGGAGGAAGAGATTGTAGCTCATTTTCTGTCAGGAAATTAAAATAGCAAACAAAGCTGGTACAGCCATCCAGACATGCCCCTGGCTGTCCTGATTTACCTCCAGGAACTATAACAGCTTGAGCAATGTCACACACCTGCTTCCCCCAAAACCAAGGAGCCAGCACAGGGTGCAAAAGGCAACCACAATTCCTAAAGCACAGGACAGTGAGAAATGTGAGGAGAGACAAAACTCGTAGCTGTCTCCCAGAACGCAGTTACACACTTCAGTGCTTCTGTCTTCAGCTTTGGCCATCTTAATCTGCACTGTCATAGGGTAACGAGTTGCAGGAGCGTGGTGCAATGTGCAAGCGTTGTGCCTGATTTCCATCTATTTGTCCTTCCTCCTCCTTTCCCGCTTGTTATCTCACCTAAATGAATATTTTGCTCAGTGACTTGGCTGAGACTAGATAAACATTTGGGGATTGAAGGGCATTCCTGGTCTCATGATTTATTCACCCTTTCTTAGAACTATATCTGATAGGAGGCTTAAGAGTACCCATACAGCGTGGTACTGTGACATGTGTGTACCCCATCCGTCCTGCTCCCATTGCTCTGTTACTGAGTGATGGAGCGATGCTCTGCCCAGCAATGATGGCATGGTGCTGCACTGCTGTCTCTACAACAGGTCATATTCAAAGCTGAATAATGACTGCCAAACATTCACAAGCTGATTCTAATCAGATGAACACCATTGCTTGAATAGGCATTGAATTTACCCGTGTTGCAACATTGTTGGCTTCAAGGGAGTCAGCTCAATAAATTTGGTATTTGGCACATTCATATATTAAATGACAACAATCTCCCGTTTGTCAAAGCACTAGGAAAAGATTACATTGACAATCTCTACTCTCAGACATCCGTACTTTTCTTCGTGCTACAAACCATGCCACACATCAGCACAAAACTTCCCATCAGCAAGAAAATCAGGAAGCCCCATTCTAAGTGAAAATTTTATACTGCACCTGCAGCAAATTTCTTAGTGTCATCCCCATTCTGCACTATAACACCAGAGCTTGATTTTTCTGTTGCATCTGTTGGGTGGCTTTTCCAGTCTAATGGATTTTAAATTCAGGAAGAATTTTTTTAACTTAATATTAATCCTAAAATTACTTTTAAAAAAAATTTTTGTTTTATCTTCTCTGGGTATCTGTTCCTATACTTCCTTGACTGGAAAGGATTGTTTTCTGTCCATTGGTGTTTACATCTTTCAGATTCTTTGCTATTCATAACTCTTTTATTGTGGAGGGCTTTTTCAGTCTTCCAGCCCTCTTTCATCTATCAAAGTAATGTAGCTTTTTTTGTTGCTGTGCTCTGAACTCCTTTGGTTTGTCTTCCTCTGTTATGTATCAGATATTAAATATAAATTTTCTCTTAAATCCAGTTTTCTTTGTTTTTAAAAAATAATTCCTTGCAAGGTATTTGATATCTTTCAGATAGGACCTCATACTATTATTCTAATCACAACTGATTCAGATTTATTTTTCTTTCTGTACATAATTTATGCAACAGGTCTTTTAGAATATTAGAAAGGAAAAGATATGTACTGCAAAAATTCTATTTGAGGAAAGAAAGATAAACATATACAAACTTGCATGCAAAGGTAGTCATGTCCACTTGCACACTAGGTCTTTCCTGACGCTTTCTTTGGTTACTTTGGAAAAAGTCGCTCAATATATAGAGAAAGAGGAGCCTGAGATAATATTTCAACATGTCATTTCATTCTTTCTCAGTGTTTACACTCCCTTTGGTTTGTCGTGAAGTTCTTGCTATTTGGTTTGTCATTGTTGTGTTGGTTACTGATGAAACTGCTGATCATTTTGGTGAGCTGTGCATTCATGCCAGGTCACCAGGGAAGAGAAGCTCCGGCAGCAGCTGACACAATAAGAGCTGCAGGAGATGAGTAAATGACAATTAAAAAGGCACTGATGGAAGCCAAAGTCCGGGGACTGGCACAAACTGGAGTGGACTGGATTGGTCTCCCCAAGTCATGGGTTGGGTAATCAGTTATCACATTTAAAAGAAAAGTTCCTGACTGCTACTCTGAGCCTCATTACAGCAAAGCCTTCTGAAACCTGACTTGACCAAGCCTCACTAAGCCTGTGCAGGCACCTCTTGATTTATGGGATCAGCTGACACTTTAAAAGAAATGGTCATTGCCTGAAAGTTTAATTCTGTCTCCCTATAATATATGGTGGATGCTAGGGAAGTTGTATGTCAGTTTTAAATCCTGACTGTAAAATAAATAAATTACATCTTTACTTTTATCCATAATTCTCACAAGGCCTCTTTAGCATTCGCCAAGATGGTTGTTAAAAGGCTTTTATAAGTTATTCACACAGCTTAGAGGGAAATTCCTCCTGGTGAGTGGCTGCACTTGGTGTTTCCCCAGGCTAGGATGCTGTGTGTCTTTTTATTCTGTGTCTTGAAGAATCCCAGCCCCAGCTGGACTGGAAGCAAGGGGGGTGGCTTGTGCAGAGGAGCATTGTTTGAGGACAGCAGCAGTAACTATTTTCGTCTCATGTTGTTGGTTGTTAACCAATCCAACAGTGCATGGTGATTTGATTTATAAACAATAATATGACTCTCTGAGGATCACTTCTCAAGATGTAATTTTGCATAACCCTTCACATGATAAGAAGATTGACCTGAGCAAGTGTCGTACATATTTTCAGTTGAAGGTGTTTTAATTCAGTGACAATTAACCAACCATTAAAATGTAACCAATTAGACCAATTAAAATGTAACCACTTTGCTTAATCAGTCTAAAGACACCTGATTTCAGGCCATAGTCAGAAAAAATGCTAGAAGTTGGAATTAGTGTATTCTGAGATGGATACTCACAGGACTGGCTCTACTACTATAGAAATGGAAAGTATCTCTGCAGTTCCCAACTCCATGTAGTCCTGCTCTCGATTGTTTTGTCTCAAAATCCTGCGTATTTCAATATCTCACTGTTGTCCAAGAGCAGAGAAACCTGCTCTTGCCTGTTTCTGCATATGAATGATATAAAAAATAGCAGCAACAACAGATGAGTAAAAGTTTAGTTTTATTTTTCCTATGTTATAAACCTTAGGTAGTGAAAGATTCCTTTTCTGAGAAATAGATCTGCTGCTCCATTTGTGCCCAGCATGACAGTAATACACTCCAGAAACACTTAAATTCTTGTCATTCAAAAATGCTGTGTTTTTTAAAAAATGTAGCTAAAAAACATACTGAAAGAAACTTTAACTACTTATTTTGAAAATGTACATGTTCTTCTTTGCTGTAACCATCAGCAGTGCAGTGGCTTTCATACAAAGCCAAAAGAAAAGAGATGACTTATGATTTTGAGAAGAAACTGGAAGAGACTTCACCAGTCAACCCAATGCCAAGGTGAAATATCACAGTAAATGAGGAGTGTTGTCAGGTCAGCTAAAAGGAACTAGTATCACATCTGGGTCTTTATTATGCTCTGTGGAGATAACAAGAACATGCTGCAGAGAATGTTCTGCTGTGATCTAAGTCTCTACATCCAAAATAAGCTGCTCCCATAAGAGCTCCACACCCAACTCTAACCCTAGCAGAGTGCAAGTGTAAAGCCCTACAATATGCACCTGCAGTGTCCATGAGAGCAGCACAAACCGGACCAGGGAATTACTTGTGCTTTACAACATAGGACTGGAAGACAACAAACAAGCTACAAAGAAAACCAGTCCAGAATAAATAGTCTGCAGAACAATGCCCAAAAGTCAGTTGTATAATAAGCCACTTAGCAAGTACTAGAAGCTTTATTCCTAATCTGTCACATGATTTTATAGCTGAAAATAATTAACCACTCACTATTGCTCAACAAGTAGGGGTCTATCTGAAATCACTTAATAACAGAAACAACAGGAGCGCCAAGACAAAGTACCAAGAATTTCATCTGGTGCCTGAAAACTGAACTTACCATATTAATTTCTGTGTTAGAGAGCCCAGATTCAGGGGCACAGAAAGAAAGGCTTCTGAAATGGAAGTTACTGCCTGGCTGTGTGCTGGTTTTGGCTAGGACACAGTTAATTTTCTTCATAGTAGCTGGTACGGGGCTATGTTTTGGATTTGTGCTAAAAACAGTATCGGTAATACAGAGACATTTTGGTTATCGCTGAGCAGTGCTGACACAGAGTCAAGGCTTTTTCTGCTTCTCACACCACCTCACCAGTGAGGAGGCTGGGGGTGCACAGGGAGCTGGGAGGAGGCATAGCTGGGACAGCTGACCCCAGCTGACCAAAGGGATATTTCACACCAAATCATGTCATGCTCAGCATATAAAGCTGGGGCAAGAAGAAGAAAGGGGGAGGCGTTTGAAGTGATGGCGTTTGTCTTCCCAAGTGTTATGTGTGATGGAGCCCTGCTTTCCTGGAGATGGCTGCATGCCTGCCTGCCGATGGAATTCCTTGTTTTGCTTTGCTTGCGCACGTGGCTTTTGTTTGACCTATTAAACTGTCTTCATCTCAACCCATGGGTTTTCTCACTTTTACTCTTCCCATTCTCTCCCCCATCCCACTGTGAGGGAAGAGAGCAAGTGGCTGTGCAGTGCTTAGATGTCAGCTGGGGTTAAAACATGACAGTCCTTTTTGGTGCCTAATGTGGGGCTTGAAGGGTTTGAGACAATGACAAATTTGAGTGGAATGAGGAGGAATGTAGAAGACATTCAGAAGAAATTTGCTAAAGCATTGCATGGTGTTTGATGATAAGAGAATAACGCACCACTCTGTCACTCTCTAATATGGATTCTAAAATATGTATGTGTTCGCACTAAAAATTGAAAACAGATTATTAAACTTTTGTTGAGATTTATCAGTTCAAGCATATCTTTTCAAGGTGAACCTAAGAACCTAAACGTAATATATTTTCCCTAACCCTACTTCTCTCTTCATGTCCCTGCAAGAGAACATAGCTACTGCTAAATTTCCCCCAAGTACCATCCTCCTTTCTTCTGCTACAACATGGTGGATTTGATCTCTTCAGGGCCTTTATAAAAAACTCTGTGAGTCTGAGCTTTGAAGTTTCGTTTCTTGAACTCCTCTGAGATTTCCAGGAAGGACTTTCCCTTTGTCTCAGGAAGGAAAAATCCAACGTAGAGTGCGGTGCACATGCAGACCACAAGGAATGGGATGTAGCAGAAATGTGCTAGACTTTTCTGAGGAGGAGGAAAAAAACAAGACAATGTTGGTGATGTTCTGTATGATGACAAATAGGACACTAATCCCTATTCCTGCACGGACTAACTTCACCTGGGAAGTATGTCTGTGTACTCTGGTAAGGGCCTCACATGCCTGGATCCAACAGCTCCTGAGCATAGTTTGGGAGTTTGGACATAGCAAAACGAGTATCTCAAAATGTCTTTTTCTGTCTTTGCCTCTCTGCATAATTGTATATAATGAGGACCCACAGCAGGAAATAAGTATTCAATATTGTGGAGTTTGGCTCCCTTTTGCTTCAGGAATCACCTTAGGGAACAATGCCAGGTCTGGCCAAGGGGAATTCCACCACATCTCCAGTCCCAGCTGTTCTCAGCTGAGGACAGAGGAGGAACATTGGACATCCATGCCTCAGATTAATCTGCTTCCAGCCTCACATCAGAAATCACAGTAGGGAACATGGAAGAAGTTCGGTTTAGCGGAGTTCTGATCACTTTCCTCATAAAGATACTGTTAATGGCAACACTGTCTTGCTGTGTGTCTGCAGCTTGCAACATTCCAGGCCCTGTCTCTTTTCCTCGTCACTTATCAGAGTCTTTTTATTGTATGAAACACTAAAGAGCTGCAGGTAATTGCTTTGCCTTGGGAACTCACCACAATGAATGGAAAGGCTGTTCCGACCAGAAACAGGTTGAACCACAGCAAAGAGCCACAGATCATGTAAGCAGCTGGCCGGGACATTTGATCAAAAACCTCTGTGGGCAGAACTCCCGTAACACCAGCTGGAAAAAGAGATGGCAAGAAAGGTAACGCTGTTGCCGAGATCACATACTAGCAAGCAAACCCAGTGTGAAGTATGTAAGAACAATAAATATTATTCAGTAATTTATTCTCACTAGTCAACAATGCCAGAACAAGCGGTGATAATTAAATTAACTGCAGTGAGTAAGATTTAGGTTAAATATTAAGGACTGGCTAATTATTCAAACTCTCTCATGTTAGAATGAACTGCCAGGAAAGGTTTCATAAACCACATTATTCTCACCAGGATCTAACTGTGAGAATAGCTTATAATTAATTCAATCCTATGGCACCACAGGGACTAGAACAAGAAATTACTGCCAACTTACATGGCATGTGACACTGGCAGCTTGGCTCCTTTGTTACCTGCCTTCAAACTCATGTAAGCGAACAGAGCCTCACATCTGCTGACACATCGTGCAAACATCTGCACACAGAGCCTGTATACTGCCCCCACAACCACAGAAACTAATAGATTCTGCCAAGAAAATGCATGTTAGTAGGCTAATAAATAGATGTGGAAATTGTGCTTCCAGTTATCTGCAAGTAAATAATCAGATAATATAGCCATCAATCTCTAGAGTTAAGGTGAAACTTTAGAAATGCTGGTCTACAGCCCGAATGGATTGGGTAGCAAACCAAAACCTTGTTGTCCATTTAAGACAAGAGTCATCTCCAAGTGCCATCACAAGATGACTGCAAGGAGAAATGACACAGAGAATGGCACAGACTGTCCCTGCACTGACTTACCAGGGACATGTAAGACCCCATGAAATAGCTGAAAACTGCTGCCAAAATTGCCTCATTCCTCTGAGTGTGCTGTGGCTAAAGAGGGTCTGAGAGTTTCCATAAGCTGCTTGTGCACTTGTCCAAGCCCCTGCAGTACCCAGAAGTTTCAGTAAAAACACTGAGGGAACTGACCTGGTCCAATTCCAAAGCTCAGGATATAGGCGAAAATGCAGGCCATGCTGAGATAAGGCATCCAGCTAATCTGAGTCTACAGCCACAGAGACCAACGGAAAACCAGTGAGCACACTTACACTTATTTGCCACCACCAGACACCCCAGACAAATAAAAGGCAAAGCACAACTCCATCCCTCTTAAATAACTGAGTAAAGTTTGTTACCTGCTGGCTCAGAGCAACCATGAAGACAATGGCCCATCCCGCCATGCAGATGTATCCCCCTAGGAGCAGTGGCCTCCGACCAGCGTAGTCTATAATCATGTTCTGCAAAAACACATCGAAATAAAGCAAGATGTTTAACTTGTGTTTATCTTTCCCTCCTGGTCCCTCTTCCCATTTCAATGCTCTGTGCCTGGTTCCTTCTACAGCTACTTTAAGGATGTTGTCCACTTCTTAGCAAAAAAAGAAAAAAAGCCAAAGTAAAGAGTCTGCTGGCAGGAGTCAGGCAAGAAGGGTGTTCAGGGGAGACGAGAATGTCCCAGCTGCAGTCTAAACTCTGCCACTATCCATACTGACATGAAGCAAGAGACTTACATTTTTTTAAAGGTTTCAGACAGTGATGATGGTGCAGTGTCTGACAAAATACTTCTGCATTAACCTGTCTGGACATGAGTGCTGAGGAACTGCCTGCTTGGTGTGCATAAAGGGCTTCCTTGGCATGAAAAACAATGTAAATCCAAAATTTGTAATTAACAGCCTCCTCACTGCATGCCAGCAGAGTGCATTAAGAGCCTCACACAAGTGATGGACGTGATCAGTTCACAGCTCCCCGTGCCGATTACAACATATGGAATTTTGTCCTGAGGGATTCCAGCCTCTCGGAACACATAAGCTGCATAAAAATACATCTGGGGAGAGAAGAGAGGAGAAAGCAGTAAAGGAGAATGTCTGAAAATACATCCCATTGTTTTTCCTGAAGGACCATGCAGAGAATGACTGATGTGCTGTCATACAGGCTATTTTGACAGCATTCCTCTGACTCTTGCCATAACACACAGGTGTACTTTGGGAACCAAGCACCTGAGGGTTGAAGATCTCCACAGGCAGAGCAGACCACTGTTTGTTCTTCTCCTGTGGCAGGAACATTAAACCCAAGAGCTTGCACCTACATCTCAATACAGTGCTGCCACTGATGGCTGTTTCTGCTGGGCTGCTTACCGAATCATTCCCGCAGAGCTGCATGGCACTGCTCAGCACAATGATGCTCATCAGCTGCCACCTCAAAGCTGGATTTTGAAAGAGCTCCCACGGCTTCTTCGCTCTCTGACCTTTAGCAGCAGCTTGTTCAGCCAGCATCTCTTCCAGCTCGGCACTCAGGTCACTGCTGCCTCTAAGCTTCTGCAGTGCTGCAAGGACAAGGGAACCTCTTATCCCCTGAACTTTACCCTCAGTTTCCCTGCAGTGCCAGAGTGAAGGATCAAGCATCAAGTGATGGCTGTAGAAAGCTGTAGAACCTGTGATCATGGTGTTACCTTCACAGAAATGGCCAGTTGTGGTGCAGCCACTTGAAGGATCTGGGGGAAATGGAGAACAAATCCCTCGCCGTTGTTTGACAAGAGAATATTTCCAACCAGTGCCACTTCAGCAGCCATGAGACTGAGATCTCAAGTGACTTCTCTGGGAAATGCAGGCAACTAAGATGTTCTCAGTACAGAGCACATATTTCCTGGAAACTAATTCCAGTTGCTCTGTATACAGGGATTTGTATGCTACAAATCTAAGCAAATCCCTTAATATGAGTTGGCTTCAGATTTGGTCATGAGCTCTTCAACCAGCATTTATTTAATGTCATAGTTACAAAACATATTTGCCATTGTGAACACAAATCCACCTTTCAAGCCTACCATTGGAGCAAAAATGTCTTTTGTAGGAAGATGCCTTCCAGTTACCACAATAGATCAAAAATACTAAGGATTACAGAATGTTCTTTAGTTTAGAGGGAGGAAATGATCGTATTTGAAACTTGATATGACACTTCCTACATATAAAAGTTGTGGCACCATTCTCAAAAATGTCAGGGCCCAAGTCTGTGCACAAAAGCAGGCTGCAAAAAGGTGTACATTCATCTGAGTTCAGAATTACTGTGGTCATATTTTGTACAGACCAAATATGGTCCTCCGGTTTAGAAAAAACATTATCCATGGGACTAGTGACATAGCCACAGTATTTGGCTTAAAGCTTTTATTTTCATCTAAAGAGGCTGGCAGAGTCAACAAACAGAATATTTCTGTTGGAAAGAAGTCTACATTTCAATCTGCTTTGGACTGAACACACTGGGCTGTATGTTGAGAATGTGCAATCAACCTTCTCGCTGTATCTGTCCAGTCAGTAGATCTCACATGATCAGTGAGAGGCTGACAGTCACCCTAAACTCACCGAAGATGCAGGATTCTCTATCTCCACGATCAATCAAGAGGTACCTGGGACTTTCAGGGACCCAAGGCAGAGCCATGAGCTGGATCAGGGCAGGCACCACATTGCTGGCCAAAAGGAATGGCCAGCGCTCCTCCCCTCCTAGTAGCTCCCTAGAGAAAAAAACAAACAAACAAACCCAACACAATTTGCACAGTACATTTTACAACCTGGATAGAGCCCAGCATCCTCTGCTGTGTGTGGGCACTGGAAAAGAAAGAAAAGAGATGGATAGTAACAAAAAAAAAGAGAAAAAAACCAAAAAGGAGACAAAAGGTTTAATAAGTATAAACTGGGCTTCTTGCTCTACATTACCTGAGTCCAACAACCTGCCCCAGCACCAACCCCAGGGCTGTAAACGATGCAGAGGTCAAGGCCACAGCTCCTCTGAGCTTCTTTGGGGCACTTTCCGCCAGATACATGGGCTGAATGTTCATGCTTACACCTGGGCAAGACAGAAATCCTCACCTCAGCTTGTAGGCAGAGGAGGTGAGGACAAATGCAGCCAGCCACCTCTGGAGCTGGACTCTTCTGTCGCAGGCCATGTGATGACTGATCTGCCAGTGTTTATTGTATACCCAAACCTTCAATTTCACTCTTCCTCATTGTATAAGGTACTATACATACATTTCCATACTCGTAAGCAGTAGTGGATGATGAAAATGAAATCTGCCAGGGCCTCTGTCCTATGGTATTTTCAGCACCAAATCTGAGGTTATAAGTGATGCTTCCTTCTAGTCCCCCATCTTGGGGGGAAGATCATGTTTTAAGTCACTTCTATCAATCATTATTTCTGTGGATAAACTTCTATAAAAGCTTTAATATTGGTGCTTATGCTAGTGAGTGACTGATGACATTCTTACAAGTAGTTAGGGATTGATTTTCAGCTTAGTTTCTCCCAGGGATCCACTCTCCGCATGCAGATACTCACACGTGTATTACACAAAAGAACCTGCCTGTGTACGCTTTTTTTAAAAAGAAAAGTCCTTAGAAGCAAAATATAAAATCTGTATCTACAACTTCCTCATTCATGTACATATGTGTGGTCAGACTAGAGGATTAACTGCTTTAATGTCTTGGATCGTTCCTATTTAAATATCTTCTATTTCTAATTGATACTTCTTACCATATTTGCCCTGTTATGTTTCTCATGTTGCCGTACCTGCATTCATGCCAGTAAAAAATCTGCTGAGCATAATCATTTCAAAAGATTTTGCCATTCGACTGAATCCTGACAAGACTGCAGCTATGATCACGAAGATATTGTTCAGCAGCAGGGACATCTTCCTTCAGAGAGAAGAGACACAGCTGTGAGCACATGTGCGTCAGGTTCAGTTTTCAGATAAAACATTTCACATGGCAGATCCAACCTGCTGTGCCTGGAAGCTCAAGGTGGGCTGCTCAGCTCCACCACAGAACATCCTGGTTACCCAAAGCCTTACATGAGGTGTCCATGTGCAGATGGCAGATCAGCAGGTTTGGTGTCTTGTTATGAAAACGGGAATCAGCACTGAGGTAATCTGCATGGATGATACAATCAGGGTCATCTCCAACTATCAGCACAACCACGGGGGGTCCCTGCAGTGCTGGCTTTAGGCTCACTGAGGCACCATGAGGTCCTCACCCAGATTCATGGCTCTTGCACTCACACAGTTTCCCATTTGAACGGAAAGGAGTATTCCTTCAGTAAGTCCTGTGGGCTTTGGTATGAAAATGCTAATTTGTTGAAACTAGCATTTTTCATGTAATAGAATGATCCTTATGAGACTTTTGTCACGAAGTTTTCATGTGTCCCAGGTGGAATTTCTGTCCAAAACCAGGAAAGTAAAGAGAGCTCTATTGACCCATAAGAGCCAGTAATTATCTCTAGTCCCTCCTCACTGTCCTACCTACTCTTCAGATGTCAGACATTTTTTCTCTTATTCATGATGGGATATGATTTTATTCCATAGCAGTGCAAGGTGAAATCTCTAAACTTTTAATTGGATAAGGAAGTCATGTCCTTTCCAGATCTTCACAACCATGAAACAAGTGAGCCATGGAGACAGTCTTCCAGCCCCATCTCAAACCATACTGGTGCCTGCTTCATCATATAAGAGGAACAAACCAAAGTGATAGAACATAGAGAAAAATTTTGGGGTCAAGCAAGAGGCAAGTAAAATCTAACTTCCTATTCATTTACATTAGTAACAATAATACTTTTTTTCTGAAGGCAACTGGGAAGAGAGCTGTGTATGAAAGACAGATGAGGAGAGACAGCTATTTTTCAGAGATTCAAGCACAGGGAAAAAAGCAACTGCGAAACTTTAACAAATATCTCCTGAAATGTTTCAGTCAAAAAGGTAGATACATCCTGTGAGACGTGAGGATGTGGGATGCTCTTTGCATATACCCTCTGTTTTTCCAGAGTGTATTTCCTACAAATTCTCACAGTTAATTATGAAGAAAAATCTTTGGTCTGTTCTGACATGATTTCTTATTTAAAAGGACAGCAGAAAACTGGGCACAAAAATGCTAGTGACTATGTAGGTGGTTATTGGGATAGAGAGTTGAGCTGAAATCCTTGTAGCACTTCACCTGGGTCAGAATATGGTAAGATGATGATATGGGGGAAAGAGCTGTTCTCCACTGGGTTTTGAGACATGAAATAGTGCTGTATCAGGTAGTTTCTCCCTGCCAACTCAGAGTGTTAATAGCAGACTGATCTGCAATAGAAAACTTGCTTTCATTATTTTTAACTAGAGTGGCTATTGTGCTGCAGGGCTTAGAATTCCTCTTGGACTAATGGAAACTGCAAAGCTTAAGTTAAAATCCGGCACCCTCTTACCTTCCCAACATAATGGCCATGGGACCAGCAACAACAGCCCCAGCAAGTCCTCCCAGAGGGTACGCAGAGACAGTGAAAGACCATAGCAGCAGGATCACGTTGCTCTCAAGGGGAACGCCCGTACGCTCCAGCCAGGTTTCATTCATGAATGTCTGAATGTACTGAGAGGGAATGACAGCGCTGCATAACCACAACATAGAGACGAAGGACATTCAGAAATGTAAATGCTTCCTTATTAATAGATCTGTATATTCTGTGTCCATGCTTCCAAACCTTTAGTTGAAAATAGCCTCCAGTTCCTAGATGTGTTTTTAACAGAGGGTTAAGGGTGCAAAACTGTAGCTATTGAAAAGTTATGTTTGGTTTGTATCTATATGTAGCTATCTTGGATAATTTAAAAACATATTCATGAGTCTGACTTAGAATTCAACAGCAAAAGTCAATTTCAAAGGATGCACATAGGACAATTTTAAAATGAGATTTGCTAAAGCAACTGAAACAAAGCTTTTGAATGAATTTGTGTGACACTAGGTCATGCTCAAGGGTGGTCTTTAACAACAAAGTCCTGTACCTCAGCTATGAATTATACAGAGGGAACAACCCGTCCTTTCCTTCTAACCCTCCGTATTAGCAGAGTGTGTATTTTCAGTGGCAGGCTACTGTTTCTAGCCAGCCTGAGGACACTCAGAAAGCGTCTGTCTCAGGAGAAGGCTCTCAGAGTAGCAGTACTTACTGAAGTTGGAGCATTGATGATGGAGATGTTGTAACCATATTGGAAAGTGCCTCCAATCCCAGCAGCACATATTGTCAGGATCAGGATCTTGCTCTGAAGCTGAAGGGGATGGATAGAAAAGGGATGACTTCCTTGCATGTAATAAAATGGCTCAAGAGACATTTGGTCCATTCACACTTTGAGTGATGTGGAGTGAAGATTACAACAGGCTATGAATGATGTTGTAAAATGGGAGGTGCCAAAGACAGAAAAAAACCACCCAGATTTTTAAACTGTCTCACTCCGCTGCAGAAGAGTACTAATAATTCATTGCCATTCACAAAGAACTTGGGACTACTTTGGTGCAAAGACTGGCAAGTGTCTTTGGTTTAATATTTAATGTGTATGCTTACAAAAAGTCAGTGCAACAACAGTAAATACTGGTAGAGACTGCTGCTATTGCTTCAGTTGATTCAATTCATTGCAAAAACCTGTACTCACGAGATGAGACTGTTCCTGCAGAGGAGTGCAGTGAGTGCCAGCAGTGCCATGTCTCCATGTTCACCTCACCGTTCCTTCCTGGTTGCAGCCACACCACCCTGCTGGTTGGTCTCTTTCTTTGTCACCCTCCTGTCCTTGTCAGTTCACAGCTATTTTGTGCCTGTGCCTTTGATTTCCCCATCTGCATGTGAGATCCTGTCACTGGCAAGCTGTGCTCTGATAGTGCCTTGGACTGGGAGCACTGTTTCATGTCTCAACACCACTCTGAGTTGCTGAGGGAACCTGGCCTGTAGCCTGACATGTCCTGCGCAATGTTCTGGGTGGCCCAGGGCCAGGATGGCCTTTGCCAGTCCCTTGCTTGCACACCCATTCCCAGTGGGAGAGCTCTGTGGGTGATATGAAGAGCCCATGCTCAGGCTTGGCTGTTCACCCACTGATGCACAGCACATCAGGCTAGATTGCATTTATGCTACATGAATAAGAGCCCACTAACCCTGAGAAGAACTTAGACAACCCAGGGCTGGGGAGCATTTCAGCTCTACTTGCTCATTTTACTCTTACAGAGCCATCTACCAAAGAAAAGGAAAGTTTTGCATAGTTTCACAATAGCTCTAAAATCACAAATTCAAATAATCTTAGATTTTTCCTTTCCTCAAAGCCTTTTACGGTAAATAACTTCCATACCAGCCTGAGACAGAACATTCTCCCAGGACAGAAATGAAGCCAGGCTGTTCCAATCCTACAGCACCCAGAGGCTGAGCTCTCTCTGTCCCACTTAGAAGTGGGAACATTTCATTTGCTTGCCGTTTACTTGGCTACACCACTTCCCTATCTTGTTACTGAGACCTGAGCTAAGGATCGTGCACCTTGTATCTCTGCTCTTCCTAGTTATCCTAGTTCTCCAAGTGAGAAAGATTTCCTTTCCCTAGAATAGCACACTTCTTCTTTTTTAATCACAATGCCTAGGGATGTAACACTTGCTCATTTCCCTGCTTTCATTATAGAGTACATCCCTTATCAGGTCCTGTATCACAGAGCTCATTTATGGCCACGGGCTAAGGGAAAATGGTTCGAGAGCCACCAACCAGTTCTGTGTCCAGGTCCAAGCTGTATTCACAGGGTGACCTTCCCAAACCTTCCTTCACACCCGACTTCTGCACTGTCGTCCCAGCCACAGTGGTGGTGTGCAGCTGCCAGGAGAGCCATTAGTCTGTCAGCTTTAGCCCAAGGACTCCGATGAGTTGGACAAATAATCCTACAATAACTTGATAGTACTTACACAGAATTATAAAAATTAAAATTAAAAAAATGATCTGTCAACAATAATAGTAAAATATATGGGTTTTTACCAGTCTCTGCAGCTTGTTCATCCTGTTTGGTAGGTTTTCTTCTGTCTGCCAAAGCCTCTGGTACTCTCAGCAGTGCTCTAAAGGATTATTTAAATCTCCAGCATAAGAATGTGTATTTAGTCACCCATTACATTAGGATAACACACTTGACTTGGCAGGTGTTTTGCCAGCTGAATTACATTTTCAAAATGGGGCTGCATGTTCATTAGCAAGACAGTGCAATTAATTTTGTTGAAAGTATGTGACAGTTTGGGGAAATGATTCTGCAAGATCCAGAGCTGCCTAAATCCTCCTGAAGGCCAGTATGGTTTACGGCATAAATTCCCTCTCAAAGTGTCTGGCACAGTTGCCCAGTAGCATTTGTCTGATTAAGAGTGATCCAAGCAGAAGTAAACTACAGCTTTTTTTTCTGACTGTATTTGTCCTGTAACCCAAGGTAGGATCTGAAAGACAAACCAGACTATTTCTCTTGGTCCTGTTAGTGACAGGATTGAACAAACCTCAAACCTATCAAATCCTTCATTATGCCAAACCTTTTTGCTGTACTCCTGTCTACATCCTGGTGACACACAGGCAATCCAGCTGTTGCTGACAAGGGACTGCACACTGATGCACCGAAGGCTGCAGTCCTCTTCCCTCTCCATAGAGAGGGACACAGAGCAAACAGCAACACTTACAGAATTCAGTTCAGTCACCGAACAATCATCTCTGGCTTTCATTTCACAGGAGGAAGAGGACTTTGCTTTTAATATGCCGTGTGACTTCTTTTTGCTTCTAAAGTGCATAATACATTATATGTGTTATATTAAAGTGCATATTATACAATATGTAATCTACCTAGATAATATGCAGCGTTCCAGGTAAACCTAGTGCTGAGGTGGGCATGGGAGAGTAGACTGCTAGGGAAGACTGTGTAGCTGATCAAAATGTCCTCAGCTGGTTTTGAGTTGTCATACCCTGCTACTCAGCATTATCCTGCTGTTCTTTAAGCCTTGTTCTCCCCACAGCCTCAGAGAGTGCTATACCAAGGGCTATAACCAGTTTTGTGCTTGGCAAGTGCTGGCCAAGGAAGCAACTGAGGTTCATCAGAGTTGTTCACAGAGGCATGGTGGAGGAGCCTTTGTACAATGGATTCATGTCACACCCTGGGAGTACAAAATTGAAACTCAGTTCTCTTTTAATATCTTCGTTAAAAATTAAATAACTCTATGCAGTAGAAGCCCCTGCTCTACCCTTGAGAGGTTCTGGCTAAATTCTAATGAGTTGAAAATATTTCATCCCACTGTAATAGAGGCTTCTTCAGTGACCTTTCATCTCTGCCTTTTGGCTTATCTTTCACTAGTGTGTGAGTTTTGTCCTCTTCCCCTGTTAACTACCCATCAGAAGAAGCTGACAGACTTTGTGTAATGGGTTTGGCTCGTGTGGCAGCTGGTTATTGTTCCACAAATGGTTGCCTTTTCCATGTAAGATACAGGAGATGCCAAGGTAGCAGTAGCAGCGATGACAGGCTTGCTTCTTTCTGTAAAATAGAAAGGCACTCCCCGACAGTGAGAAATGGTGTGTCCTCATGAATCCTAGAGATGGAGCCCAGTGAAGATGAAGTCATATTGCATTGCCAGCAATAATAGCAAAGCTGCTGTTTCACAAACTATCTGGCCTTTAGGAATAATAATGGTATTTTAACATCCTTTCATTCTGCAGAATGTAATTTGTGAGAAGCTCGACAGATTTAAAAGTAACCAAAATAAGGGAAACTTTTTTTCCTAAATGCCTCTTTGTCCCTACTCAGGTTTTATTACACGTGAACAGAAACACAAACGTATTCCACATCGCAGCAGTATTCTTATAGTAGGGATGTGGTGCTGCATCAGCTGCCGCCACTAAGTGGCAGGAGAAGCACAAAATTTCCTGTATTGGGCTCCTAATCCAACATGCCAGCAGTCTGCTGCCTGTGGTGTGTGGCAGGGTCAGAGGGCTACTTCTAACAGCTTCCCAAAGGATAACTTGTTCACTAGGGAAACAGACAGAACTGTGCAAGTTAAGAGCCACTGATGTTTTAGACAGCATGTATTAAGAACAGTAACACATTCAAAAAGGAAAGCTCTAGTTTCTTCCTGTTGTCTATTCTGAATGAGACCAGGTTTGGGTAGACCTGTTCTGGGAAGAAATACACATATTCTGTATTAGGCAAGAGCTTTCTCCTTTTTCCTAGCATCTTATAACCAGGGACCACCCTAGTGCAGGTCCTTGTCCCCTCAGGTGGTGGCATACAGGAGTTTCAGCCTGCAGCTTCCAAGTGAGTGTCCTTGGTTGTTCTTGTCACTGAGACGTGTCAGGGGAGCCTTTGAGGTAGATGGGGATTATTCCATTTTTAGCTCCTTAGACAGAGGCCAACACATGTCAAACATGTCTCTAGTCGGGTAAGAGGCCAAGGAATGCAGCTCACCCAGGCAGTCTAGTCTCCATCCATTCCCTGGGCCTGAGTACCGTGACTCTGATCTATCTGTCTCATTTCTGTTGCAGCCAAACATAGAAAGGTACCTTTCTGCAATGAGCTGGTCAAGGACTGCTTGCTTAGACCATTGCATTGTCTTGTTTTTCAAAGGCAAACATGTGCACGTTCTTCTGTTTAACAAAAGATTAAGGCAGTATCTGTCACAGTCCAAAGGAAATCCTAGAGGCACTGGACAAAAGTGCACAAGGGCATAATGGGAGAAAACTCATTCCTGGTGATGGTTAAACCAGAGATGTGCAAGATGTGCAATGAAGTGAAGCAACTGCCTATGCCAGTTTCTGGTCAGAGAAGGGAAATAGCAAGTGAGCTTACAGCAGCTCCAAGAGATGGGTGAAGTCCTGCAGGTAGGCAGCGAAACACTGTGGACTGTGGCACAGGCTGTTCATGAAGGGGCATATTCTGACTGTTGCTGTGGCCGGATCTGTGTGCAGCTGGCTAGCAGGAAGTGGGAGTTCCTGGAGGTTTTCCTCTGTCTTTTTAGTAACAGCCAACTTGCTGAGGAGAGGCTGGATAGATTTATTTCTCCTATATAGCATCTAGATGACTCCTGCTTTGGTGCTGACAGGCGTTGACATTGGTTGTGATTCTAACTGGCTCCATGCTGCACCTTAAAAAAAACCCCCAGCATTCCCAATGTTCAGTCCTTAGGATAATTTCTCACAATTTCAGTGTCATAGTTGGCATAGATGAGAAATCTCCAGTCTCAGGGTCTGTCACCAGAGTGTAACCACTGCACTGCAGTTACTCATACTCCTGTCTTTGGAAGCCTTCACCTAAACCCAGCAGGTTTGCAGCACCACCATGAGGACTTACAAACTTCTTCCCTTAACTACTTTTTCACTGAACTCAAACCTGTCATAATCAAGGTGAAGTATGATGCCATGAGAGTAGTTATTTGGTGAATGTGGTGGCAGTCTCTGCCTGTAATTATTTGACTCCAGGATAGTAATCCTGCCATTAGGATAGACCGTCAACACAAGCTCTTTGATCTGCCATGCACTGAGAGGTTCCTATGGTTTAGAGTGTTTTCATCCCAGGATCATCTGGACCAACTGCAATTGCACTGCGAGAGGAGAAAAGGGGCTCCATTTCCATCTGTGAGGCTTGGGTCTACAGGATGAATTCTCCCTACAAACATACACTGTAAATCACAGGGGAGATTTGTAGCGGTTCCCTGGCTGGTTGTTGGCTGTCTCCCAAGCTCTATCCTGGCTATTTCTGTAAACCTTTCTCTTTTTCCTGTAAGGACAGTCACAGTGAAATACCTCTGTCTGCGTGTCCTGACTCTTGCAGGACTTGCTCAGAATACAGAAAACAACATCTACAAACAAGCAGCTTTCTCAAGAAACATCCAGCAGCCCCGCTGTTTTCATGGTGAAAGCAATGTTTATGGAACTTAGCTGTTAAAATGGATTTTCTTTGTAGGGAATGAGTGCCCTGTTGTGACACCATCATTCTCGGCTCCAGCAGTTCACTAACATTCCTTAGGAAAAAAACACAATTTATGTAAGTTCAAGACACTGTATAAAAACTTCAGGAAATGGGCTTCATTGCAGAGGATTCTCAGGGCAGAGACCCAATGCTGACAGAGCTTCTGCTACCACACAGAATCACTGGGATGCTTTCCAGACCAGAGGAGACACATGGGAGTAGAGTCCTCTGAGGACACGAGGGCTGATACAGCTAAGGAAACTCACTGCTTTTCCTTGCCAGCTAGGATTTTTGGATGTCAGAAGAATGGCTCCATGTTCTGTGTGTTGAATCAGCAGTCTGCATTTTCATCCTCCTGATAAGCAATAGAGCTTCTCTGGGAAAAGTGAGAAAGCCTAAAATGCTAAAAATAATTGAAATACCCTTTTCTCAGCCCACTGTTAGCTGTAGGTCCTGTGGCTGAACTACTCCCTTTCCTTCCTTCTTTGTATCAGACACTGATGCAGGCAGTTAGTTGAAACTGGGTGACCTGGAGGCCAGAGAGAATAAACTGCTTGGCTGAACAAAAACTCTGTTCCTGTGTGCTAGAGAAGACCATTTAAACTCTGCCAAATGGCAGTAAAATGTCTCTGAATGTTCCCATCAGAGGAGAGGAAAATATGGGCAGCAGTGCTGGAGTGTCAGACTCATCCTGATTTCTTATTTAACACTCACTTCACACAGAGCTTTTTATTAGAGCTGTCTCCTGCCTAACTGAGAGGCACCTGGACTAGGACACACAGTCCTGCCTCTACTAAAACTAAGTACAAATCACAGAATCACAGAATCAGCATCACAGAATCTCAAGAGTTGGAAGGGACCTTGAAAGATCATCCAGTCCAATCCCTCTGCCAGAGAAGGATCACCAGACCAGGTCACACAGGAACACGTCCAGGCGGGTTTTGAATGTCTGCAGAGAAGGAGACTCCACAACCTCTCTGGGCAGCCTGGGCCATGCTCTGTGACCCTCACAGTAAAAAAGTTTTTCCTCATGTTTGCATGGAACCTCCTATGCTCCAGCTTGCACCCATTGCCC